TTTTTAAAGACCATTTTTTTGTCAGGGTAGAGTTTTATATTGTCACAATGTAGTAATGAAAAACTCAAATCTTGTATCTTGTCCTCCAAAAAATTGCTAGGAAAAAAACCTGCATTTTCTTTGGTCACAACTAAGAAAATTTTGTCCAACAAAAACACTGGGAGTATTTCGCAAGGTGTTTGTCAAGTCATTATGCTGTACATCTAAAACTTATATAGTGTTGTATGTTAATTATATTTTAACTGGAGGCCTGGTGCACGAAATTCAAGCACAGGTGCAGTCCCTAGACCTGGCCAGCAATCGAAGCGAGAGCGTCTGCCATGGAAGGGCAAGTCCCTGCTGATCTCCGGTCCCTGGGCAGCACCTGGGCCTCCATACATACCCCTCCACCTGAGTCATGGAGCTCAAGTCCCCACGCAGTGATGCAGGGCGCAGCATGGGCCTCTGGCCACCCAGCAGCGCCATACAAAGCTGGACAGGCAGCGCGCTCTCTCCCGGCCGGCTTCACAGACCTGCTCCTGCACAAACCCACAGGGCGCTCGACCGGCCCCTGCTGTCCCAGCAGCTGCAGGTGTGTCCTGGCTCAACCACAAGAGGCTGTGCAGGGGAAGATGCCATGGGCTCCTCACGGGTGCCCGGCACCTGAGCGCAGGGGACTTCCCCAGCATGTGAGCCCTGGCGTCCCTGAAGAGGGTAGCAGAGGGAGTGAAAGCAAGCTCAGTAGACACCCTGCATTCTCACCACACCTCCGAACCCATCACCCCCGCCCCCAAGTAGCCGGTGAGAGGTCGCAGCACGCTGCTGCGCCCACCATGTTCCATGCCACCCCCTGGTGGTCAGTGCACATCATAGCAAGTGGTCATTAATTCAAGAAATGTGTAAACATTAATTCTGTAGAACTATTCATGGAGAGAGTCATGATGTTCTTTTTTAAAAATATATTTTTATTGATTTCAGAGAGGAAGGGAGAGGTAGAGAGAAATAGAACCGGGCATGTGCCCTGACTAGGACTCAAATTGTGCCCTCCCCTCCTGGTTCATAGGTCGACACAACCACTGAGCCACGCTGGTGGGGCAGTCATGATGTTCTTAAAAATTAAATCCACTAAAGTAAAGTGAATCCTGAACTACAATATTGACCTCAAGAGATTTTTATTGCATGATGAACTTTGTCTTTTAGAAAAAAAAAGTGGTTGACCACATTGCTTATTCTCACTTTCTTGGTGAATGATCCAATTTATAGATCTTTCTTTTCCTCATATTGAATTCAAGCAGAGTGGGAGACAGTATGAACATTAGAGCTAGAGTAGAAAATCTGATCTAACCTTAAATGAAGGAAGTCCACCTCACTTTCCTGGACTTCAGTTTCCTAAAGGATGATGCCCTAATTCTGTATGACTAGCGTTCAAAGTGTAACCATTTAAAGATGTCAACACAATTATAAATATGTAGCTCCAAGAAAAAAAGTCTGTGCTCTCAAAGAACAAAATTCAGGGTGTACTCTTTTCCAAGAATGCCATTGAGTGTACAAATGAAGCATCATTCAGTTACCATTCGGGGCAATGGGATATGTGTTTGGGGGAAAGGACAACTCCTTACCCGC